TTTATAACAAGATTAAAGTCTGAATGAGAATTCCTCCTTACATATACAGAAACACACTGACACATACACACATACAGAGTCAATGCTTGTACAGCTGTTTTTGAATCAGCTATTGGGTAAATAGCTAGGTTTTTTACTAGCCAAGTGAATTGATTTGTTACCACCTGCTATAAAGTCCAACTGATTCAAGGTAAAAATGCTTATGAGGTCCTAAAATATTTAAAATCTATAAATTCCAAATGCATATGGTAATTGTATTAAAATGTTCCTAATCTCATAAACTCCCTTCTGATTCTGCTCAGTTGATAACAACAGGGTGCCAGTTTCATTTCCAACATGGGTTCCTCTCTGAAGCCCCAATGAAATATTAGACCAGAGGATTCATGTACTCTGACATGGAATCAATCGCTTATTAAATGCCAATTTCAAGGCTAAATTGAGGTTTATGAAGACAGTACTACAGGAATCAGATATCAACTATATGTTTTAATTAATAATACAATGACCTTAAGAGACAATTATTTCCATGGCTCACAGGTCTGATCCTATGAAAATAAGTTTTTAGCCAAATATCATATCTGTAAGAATTATTCATGATCATTTTATTTGTTAGAAGAAAAAGTGATTCCAAATTAAGGTTTCCATTTACTAGTTTTCTCCATCAAAGCTATGTGACAATATTGGACATCTTTCATCTTTTATCAGTCTTTCTACAGATGGTCAGATTAGTTATTAAAACAGCGTGTCTGTTGTTTAGAGGGGAAATGCTGACTGCTGGCAACACATTAGAAAGGAGAAAAACAAAGGAGAAAAATGTTATATATTTACATATTGTAACAGGAAAAAACTGTATCTGCCTAAATTACACAGCGAAATGCTTTTTCAACATGGAACTTTTTAATCTCAATATTTGTTTATATGAGAAAGTGAGTTTTTCCACATTTTTGACAAATGTGGAAGTATTTACATGTTACATTTTTACACTCATTTGAAACTATTTGAAAATGTCAGAGTCCTGACTAGCTTGCTCAAGTTTTGCTCACAGATGGTGCTCTATCACTTGAACCATATTTCTAGTCTGTATTTTGCTGTCTAATTGTAGGTGGAATGTTGTAGTCTTGTCTTCCCAGGCTGGCTTTGAATTGTGATCCTCAGATCTCAGCTTCCTGAGTAGCTAATATTCCACGCATGAGCTATAAATGCTTGGCAACTGCCTAGACTTACATCCTTCTATCTTATCCTAATCAGAAGTATGCAATTATTACTCACAAATGTTACAGTTCCTTCTAATCTAATAAATTTAAACTTATTTCACTTCTGTTGAACTCTAAGACAGATTTTTATGGACTCATTATTATTTCTATTTCAATGCTGGAACAGGTCAATCTTCCACCAAGGGGATAAGAAAGTCGTGAAAAAATCATGGTCATAAAACTTGGTAATGTTAGTATTCTACTAACTAAGGACACATTCATTGAATATTGCTGTAATAAGAAACCTAAATTGAAAAATGTCTACAAATAACCATTCTTGGGAATAGGATGTTTTAAATAATAGGCAATAATCAGTGCTTTAAAAGGTCATCCCTTAAATAGAAGTGAATTGTAAGGAGGATATTTATAGGAAGTCAAATGAAATTTAGTATTGGATTGTATTGACCTGGTACCGTCTGAGGCTGTCCTTCAGTCCTACATTGATGTCCCTGGTGATGTTCAGATGCCATCTTACTTCCTTGTATAGGAGGGACTATCAAATGCCTTTACTGGAGCTTGGACGTCATGTACATTTTGTAGACCTTCTGCTTACAATGTTCATTCCCTTTGAAGCAATCATGGACTCATTCATTGGTAAAAGCTTTATGAAGTCAGGTTATAATTCACGAGCCACAGTAAAGATAGGAGTGAAAAAATAATGTGTCCTAGAATCAATGAAAATGTCTTCTCCATTGTATTCACCTCGACATTAGTTATGAGGTTTTAAGTAATATTAAAATGAATAAATTCCCAGTAACTAATGTTATCACATACTTGTATCTTCAAAACCATTTCAAATATTCTGGATTTTTTGTGTTTTCTTAATTCATCTGCACAGTCAATTTCCTCGTCCATCCATCATGAATAAGAACTAAGAAAAACAAATGTGAATCGATTCAGTTAAGTTTAAAATTGTTTCTGATTAACTTCAAGCAAATATAGTGTTAATCATGTGCACACCCATGAGTGTACCTGTTTGGCAAAACAAGCTGAGCCCTAAGGATGGTAAGTGTCATTTGGTTCTTCATGATCCCCGAAAAGTGGTCGCTGCTAAGAGTGCTTAATTATACTACTAGATGCAGATAAGGCATCATTCATTCTGCATAAAACAAGCCAACAAAAATATTACAAAGCTGAGATTTTATTTTTGCAATTCACTCAAGCCATTCTAAATTAGCCACCAGTAGGCCACAGGGCTGAAGTTTTATAAGTTCTTTACCAAATTTTCATAAAATAATACCAAGATACACAAAGAATAAAGTGCTCTTAACAATTGCTTTATTAATTGGACTGTTTCAAGGAATTAATGGATTTCATTCTCTTATTTGCTAGTCTATGTTGTTATAAAATGCAGTTTGTCTTAGGTAACATTCTTTTGATTGAGGTTTAAATGGTTTTTAAAGTTTTGAAAAGTATTGTTTAAAAATATGTTTAAAAGTTTATTTGAAATTCAGTTTTTGTAAATGGTATTAAGCAGTTCATGCACACTAATGTAGATATACACAATGAGATTTTTTTTTATAAATTTATAGATGTGTAACATGCCAGAAATATTTAGTCTTTAAGTTTTAAAAGTGCTGTGATTCAGAATGTCTGTGGTATTTAACATGTGTTTATTTCTAAAATATAAACACACTATTAAAACAAAGCTTAAAATAATATATTTTTATGATTCAGAATCAACAAGGAATGTTGTTATGCTAATTAATATTTTCCATCAAAAATACATCATATAGTTTTAAACTTTTTAACAAGGAAAGTAATGGGTTTAAAGTCACCTTAATATTTTTTATTTAAATTGTCTAGGAAACACCATAGATTTCTGCAAATGAAGAATGCAGCTACATCATTTTATGGACTAGAAATAAACATATCTTTATTAACACTAGAATATCATTTTGTTTAGTATTGAATCCAAAGTGCCTAGAATGGAGATGGGCTTACTACTGATGCCCATGTACATTTTTATAACAAAAACATGAGTACTGTTACATTGAGCTAAAATATTCATAGTTATTAAATAATGAATAGGCCTAAATATGTCACAAATGGGATTTGTATTCATATGTATATTTATTGTACAAAGAAATTCATATAAAATTTATTCACGTTAGTATTTTTCACTTTTGTGTTTGCTGTTGAATTAGATGCTATTATGACATTTGGAATGGTGACCATTTGAAAATTACTTTAGGATTCACATATTTTTATTTGACATTAATTTGTTAACTTCTGTATAGAATTTGCTTTTTTGTCTTTTCCCAATCAACCCACACTTCATATTTTATGATTATTCTATACTTGTTAAATAGGTGCTGCTATCTGACATGCTTTTAGAATAGCAATTTTGCTCAGCATTCTAAGCATTATTTTAAAAATGAGGTTGAAAATATGACCCCTTAAATAGAATTATTTGTAATATTAGTGCAAAGGAAACACATTAGACAAAACAATCATCATTTTTAACATATTTTGAAAACAGTATCCAAGATTACAAGAACTCTAACTTTGAAGTCAAAAAGAAGAAACACCTCAGAAAACTTTCCTCGCTGGGTTGCCATGTATTCATTTAACAATCCAAAGATACACTACGAAATCTTCTTTCTACTTTGCATAAGCCCCAGAAAAATCATTAAGGTACAGCTAATTTTGGTTACAAGATTCTTTATTTTGTAAATTATACATAAACAGCTAGAAAATGAAAATGCATTATACTTTAAACATCGTATAAGGTAAACATTTTTTATTTAGTGTGTAAAAATTAAATTGAAATTATTCACTGATTTTTCTTTCACTGAATAGTATACCAGGAAATCAGTTAATCCACGATGAGGATGGAAGATAACAGTGTGTAACACTCAACAAGTTTTCTATTGTGGACACAGAGCCATTGGTTTGACAGTCTTAGAAGTGACGGTGCCTACACAATTAATTAACATGCTAACTTAAATATAGTAATTAAAGTAATTTGTTACAGTTAAATATTAAATGCCACTTTACACAATTATAATTATAAACAAGTCCACATGGCAATTATGTAGCAACAGAAAAAAGAAAGAACCCTATTCCATTTTCCTCCAGCAGCAGCGGTACCCTTACTGGCATTAACTTGAAAGTTAGGTGTGCTTAAATATTGCCTAATATCCTATATTGGTATGCATGCTAAACCTTTCTATTTCTATTTTTGCAAGGCACCTTACAATACGTTCTCTAAGTTTCTGCACTACAAACAAAAGCCTAAGATTAAATGCAAATTTTTATCTAAAGTAGGAAATAAAATGAAAAATAAAATCTCTTTTCATTGGGGCAAATGAAAAAAAAATGAATGGAAATATTGTGGAAATGAATCATTCACTTAGTGTGTCTGATTTAAATTCTACACCCTAAATTGCTGGTCAGAAAGATAAACTAGAAATCATGCTGTATAAGAATATTAAAAGAATCTACATGAGTCTGCCATTAAAACTGAAATAAAAATCAGAAAGGATAGTTTAGTATTTTGAGAATCCACAAGTCTACAGTGGTCATTCTGTCTTACTATGTGGTATCTCTCTCACCCTGACTCAGAGAAGATGCTATATTGAAATTGAAATTGAAATTAAAATCATGCATTATTTTATAAAAATCCTTGGGGTCAATGTCACCAGGAAATCTTTGTAAATTTAGCTCAGTCTATTTCTCATAATACAATAGCATATGATCACAAGCTCTTATTGTCAGTTTTTATAGTTGTGGAACATATATAAAGTTTGTTCTTTTGAAAAAAATTACTCCCCTAGATCTTCACAACTTCCCTTTTTCTGGCTATACTCTATATGCACTGTCTTTCTTTCTAAGGCATAGATAAACTGAAAGCAAATGACTCTTATTTAAACATCAAAGTTCTAGGATTTTTGCTACAATATTTGTAATAATTATACAAAATATATGAGAGGTTTAGAATCATTTTGTTTGGGGGTAAGAAGGTAACTCTCAATAGGCTGTAATTTTGTAAATATTAGAAATGTAGGCTCTATTGACCTCAGCTGGATCAAATGTACCCATCATGATCATCACCATCGTCATCATCATCCCCTTCATCTTCATCATCATCTTCAATTTCTTCTTTATCATTCATCATATCATCTTCATCATCTTCATCATCAGTCCATTCACGGAAGTCTCCACTTGCAAAATCTCCAGAGATCTCAAAATCTATAGCTAAAAATTAAAAAAACACACAAATACTTTATTCACTTGTTTGAGGAGTAGGTTGACTTCAAATTTAATTGGTAGACTTAAGAAAAATACAGTTTAATGAAAAATGTCACATGTTAAAATCTATGAATTTATTGTAGCAGAATCATTATAACAATGTGAGAATTTCCAGCCAGTAATATAGATCTCAACCCAGGATTATAGAAGTTCATGTCAGACTAAGAATTGTAAAATATTTTTAAATTTTCTTTGACAAGCTGAGAAGGAAGAATAATTATCTCCCAAGATATTTGCATCCTTAACCTGTGGAATCTTCAGACAGGGTATTTTTTCATTGAAAGGAACTTTGCAAATGTGACGTGGTTAAGGACTCTGCCGAAGGGGCACTTACTCTCCATGTGGCCCAAGGTGTCACTTGGCTCCTTAAAATTAGGGGTTAGATTGTACAAAAATAAATGTAGTCTTTGTCTGACATGTAACTGCAGCCCTTCTGTATGTCACCTTCACAATTACAATAAAAATGCATATAAAAGAACCTTCCCGGATAGAGTCAGAAGGAGACACAGAAGAATGGTCCCCAGAAGAATGGTCAGAGAGAGAATCAATATTGTTGGTATGAAATTGGAGAAAACTGTGCACAGGCAAGGAATTTAAGTTCTACAGGGTAGGAAAAACAGGAAAATCAATTTCTGGGTCTTCAGATATAATTTCCACCCTGCTTAATGTATCATGTTTATTTTAAGAGACCTGTTGGAATCTTGACACTCAGGACTGAAAAATAATAAATTTGTGTGGATTAAGCTTCTAATGTAGTAGGATTTGTTATGATAGCAGTGGGAAAAAAAACCAATACTCTTAATCAATTAAAAAACCATTATAAATGCAGCTGTTAATACTTCTGGCGGCAATAATATATTATATCTCAGCATGTGTTTACATTTCTGCTCTTTCAGTATAATTGCATCTTTTTTTCAAGTTTCCTAATATTTACTTCTATCTTTCTTTGGTAGTTTAATGGAACAAATCCCACTAATACAATAATCCAAGGTCTAAAAAGTGTTTGGTTTCATACTACAATTCTATGTCAGGAAATGGTGTTTTCAAGTTCTACCTTTGTGTATTTTCTTAATTTCTACAGAAACCCTATTCCTACACAATTTCTCAGTTAATGCATTGAACTAATGTCTATACAATTTTAAAGTACAACCTACAATATTAGAATTATCACTGGCACTCAGATCAAGTTATTGATGTCACAGCCTTTTAAAGATATATATATATATATATATATATATATTACAATGACATGTAATGTATATGTATATATTACAAAGACATGCTACATGTTAAAATTATAAATGGAAATTATAGTGTGCTATTGAACCTTTCACACATACAAAATCAAGTCAGAGATTAACAATACTACGGAAGCTGGATGTTGGGGGCTCACACCTGTAATACTACCTACTCGGGAGGCTGAGATTTGAGAAAGCATGGCTTGAAGCCAGCCTTGATAGGAAAGTCTATGAGATTCTTCCCTCTAATTTACCATCAGAAACCCAGAAATAGAGCTGTAGCTAAAGTGGTAGAACACTAACCTTGAGCAAAACAAAAATCACAGTGGGAATTCACAGGCCTTGAGTTCAAGGCCCAGGATTGGTAACAAAATAAAAATGAGGGAATAATTAAGATCAGAAGAAGAATTTAAGGGTTATATATAATTACTTTTTCTTGTGTACTATTTCTCTTCCCTAAACAATCTTCATCAACGAGCTTGAAATTGCATGAGAGAGACATCTAAACATTTTCTAATGTTTGAATGACTAGGCACTTAGTGTTGATTTTGATCATTTGTATTCATCAAGACACAATCTGTTAGTCTTGCAATATCAGTTTGTGGAGGGAGTGAGAATGTGTGGGGAAAGGTAGAGTGAATGGGGGTCTCTGTACCTCAAATTGGTAAAATACTTGTTGCTAAATATATACATAGTAAAAATAAAATAATATTTCAATCCTGATTTCTGAAAATATTTCTGAAGCATAAAAATATACCTCCTTTGAACCTTTAAAATGTATCCATGTGAAGTTTATATTGTTAAATTATTTTCATGTATTTGCATAAAAATACATGCTCATAAGTGTTACCTAATGTATAATCATTCTTTAAACAAGTAAACTACATTTTCTTCACCCAAATATGAGAAAATATGCAATATGCTGATTACACATACACTTTATGGAATTTTAAAAAGATTTTCGGTTGGTTTGTTTGCTTGGTGGATGTTTACATATTTCTTAAGTCCCTCTGTCCGGAAGAATGCAGACAAAAGGGCTCAACTCACTTGAAATATAATGAGTGACAGAAGTCTACTTGGTATGTTCTTAAAAGCATTCAGAGTTTGAAGGAGGAAAAGGATATCAACTTTTAATTCTTCTCTTAGTTAGTCTTGAAATTCCATATAGATTTCCACATAGATTTGCAATATCCTAGGCACAAGTCTTCTCGCCTCTACCTTTGTATATTCTGCCAGCTGTAGAGAGGTTGTCTTCTTTCACTAACAGGATAAATTCATGAGGCTCAGAAACACTTTATCTGGCGTGTGGGAAAGAAATAACCTTTCAGCTGGGCACTGGTGTCACATACATGGAATCCTAGCAACTCAAGAGGCTGAGATCTAAGGACCGTCGTTCAGTCAGCTTAGGCAGGAAGGTCAGTGAGACTCTTATCTCTCATTAACTATCAGAAAACCAGACATAGAGCTGTGTGTGGCTCAAAGTGGTAGAGTGTTAAATCTGACACAAAGAGGCTCAAGGACAGTGCCCAAGCCCTGTGTTCAAGCCCCCTGACTGACCAAAAAAATAAGAAGAAGAATAAACTTTTCACTTACCACAGTCAGCAACTCCATTTATTCTGGATCCTATGACTTCATTTCCGTATCTGTCGACACACCAACACTGCCCCACACCGCCATGGCACTGTGTTGGCTTGTAGTAGCCATCTTCATCACACAGGGGGATGTACTGTCCTGTCAGACACACACAGTCACACACAAACACGCATGTTAGTTGTATGGAGAAGCTGTGCTTCTTTCCAGGGGTCCCCGTTAGGTTCAAATGTGCTTCAGATATGCCCTTCAGAAGTGTCCACCAGGTTCCAGGTACTAGGTAATACTTAAGTTCTCTGCTCTTGTGGGACTGGCCTTCCCAACAGGAACTGCTTACGTTTTATAGGTTCTTATCCCGTGATGCACAAATTATTAGCATTTCTCACTGTGGCAAGGGTCTTGCATCCAGAGAAATAAGACAAGTAAAATCTGGTGAATGCTATGTTTATATCAAGTCATCCAAACCAAAAAGACTACTGTCGCTGGCAACTTTCTGTTGTTATCTTCCCTTAAGTTCTTTTGTTCATATATTTCCATATCATTGCACATGAAGTGATGCTTAATTTAGTGATGCCTTTTCTCTTTATGCATTTCTTTCTTTCTTCCTCCTTCCCTTCCTTCCTTCTTCCCTCCCTCCCTCCCCGCTCTCTCTTTTCTCTTTCTTTCTCTCTTTCTTTCTCTTTCTCTCTCTCTTTCTTTCTTTCTTTCTTTCTTTCTTTCTTTCTTTTGCTGGTCGTGGAGCTAGAACTCTGGGCTTGGGCACTGTTCTGAGCACTTCAGCTCAAGGCTAACACTTGACCATTTGAGCCATAGCACCCACTTACAACTTTTTCTGTGTATGTGGTGCTGAGGACTCGAACCCAGGGCCTCATGCATGCAAGGCAAGCACTTTACCACTGAGCCACCTTCCTAGACCCCTCTTTATGCATTTCTTGTCTCAATGGAACTACCTTCATACTCCCTTTTTAAGATTTAAATGTGATCCTCAATATGCAAGTGTCCCCTACATTGGAAATGTGATGTTGTTCTTCCATTGTGAGTGATTGGGTATGTGTATGCACCTGAGTATGTGAATGTGTGTCATGCTTACATCATCATTCATCATTATCACTACCATCTGACATCATCTATACGCAGATATATTTATGTTCTCTAGACTTTTATTGTATGAATACCATTTAAAACTATGCACTAAAGGCAGTATTGTTTAATAGAAAAGAGTAAAAGATAGATATTTGCTTTTATATGTATAATATCTAAAGTAGTGAGTAATATATTGCTGACGATATTTAATTAGCAATATATAAGGCCCTCAAAACCTACAATAAAAGCAACAACAGGAGAATTTACTAGATCAGAAAACTGATGTTTGTCCAGAAACTTATAGGATAAAAGAAAATACAAAGTGAATCAATGTATAGAATATGACATTTTTTGTAGTCTTCTCACCATAGGAGATAGTGATTTTTACTTCTCAAAAGTTTTTGATGTTAGGGAAATGAACCTTAAGATATGTATAAGATATGTATTCTAATGTTTTATTTTCTTTCATGCGATTGTTTCTAACACATTTATAAGATTTTTTCTTTGTTGCTTTGTATGTCCCTCCCCCACAACATAACCCTGCTTTCATTGTATTTGATGTCATTATAATTTGTGGAGGGGAAGGGGAAAAACAAATCGTTTAAATAGGAATACAGGTGGACCTAATGCAACAATGCGATGTACAAGTCGTTATGTCAAAAAAAAACTTCACAACTTTTGTGTGTGTGGGGGAGGATTGGATGGGGGGGGGAGGCTGGGAAGGGATGGGAAGGGGAAACAAAGGAAGAGGCTACAATGCTTGATAAGAAATGTACTCATTATCTTGCCCATGTAATTGTAACCTCTCTGTATAGTATTTTCACAATAAAAAAATTAAAAATAGTTTTTGATTCTGATGAGCTAATGATGAAAAAGTTTAGCACTTATAATTTATTGGACTGGTTTGAACTTTTAATCTCAGTGACAAATGGAGATCAACAGTGTGAGAAATTTGTGGCCTTTTATGGATTCATGGTCATCAACAATAAGAAAAATGTGCCATTTTTTAATACCAACACTTTTAAAACTATTGTGATTTAACATAATGCTATGATTTTGTTTCGTGCCAGTGATTTCTGCATATAAATAAGAGAACATGCCTGGCTCATGGCTGCAATCCTAGCTACTCAGAAAGCTAATATCTAAGGTACAAAGTTCATGGTTCAAAGTCTACTTAGGCAAGAAAGTTCATGAGACTATCTCCAATTATCTCCAGTTAACCGTCAACAATCCAGAAGTGGAGCTGTGGCTCAAGTAATACATTGCTAGCCTTGAGCACAAAAGTTTAGGGACAGCTCTGAGGCCCTGAGTTCAAGCTCTAGACCTGGCATGCATGTATGTGCAGGTGTGAGCAAGCATGTGTACATGCACACATGCACAAACACATACACAGATATTATCAAGAATTGTTCTACTACTAAGGAAAAGAACACAAAATGAGTCTATATACTGGAATATATGACAACCTATTATTAATTAGAAACTCATTAACTTTCAGTTACATGCCCTTAACCTACCCAAATAAACAAAACCTGTATTTAAGGGATACAGTAGTTTTCCTTTTTTTTCTCTCTCTCTCCTTCCTTCCTTCTTTCCTTCCTTCCTTCCTTCCTTTCCTTCCTTTCTTCATTCCTTCCTTCCTTCCTTCCCTTGCTTGCTATGATCTGAATAAGAGTTTTGTGTTTGGTGGCAAGTGCTCCATCACTTGACTAATGTTTCTAGTTTTTTAAAAAATATTGCAATTATTTTTGAGATTATTTTATGCTTCTGCTAAGGGTTATCCTTGAATTAAAATCATCACAACTATGGTTTCTATGTAGGTGAATCACAGTTGTGAGCCACCAGGCCTGATGTTTAATAATTCATTTCTAGTAATGACTAGTAATTATATTCATCTAGTCTTTCCAGTAATGACTTATTTCCAATATTTCCTTTTACATTTTGAATGAACAGCAAGGATGCTTCTTTTCAAAAAGGCCTCAGTGTTAGGGTTTTTGTTAGTTAACTTCAAGTAATTCAAGCCTAGAGTTTATATTTATTTACCTGTAGATTTTGGTGAAGTCTACAATAGTTGCCAATTGTATTTTAATGGCTTTTCCCATTATATGAGGGAAAACTTTGATTTGAAGAGACAAAAGCCTTTTTTCAAAGTACATTTCCAAATTTTTAGAAGATAAGAGAAACACAGCATGATGTAGTGCTATCATCAGTGCTCACACTTTAAAGATTTATTATAATTGCATTCATCATTTTAAACATTGGACTCTGAACTCACAAGTGCTGAGCTAACACTTCTCATTTAAACGTAATGTTCTACAATTGCAAACATGGTACATTGAAATATAACACAGATCAATCCGGTCTTATAGATCCGATATTATAGAGTCATTTGCTTCTACTGCATTAACATACATCGAAAGAAACATGACTTTTGTGATATCTTAGTTTGATACAAAAAGTAAAAGCATACCAGTAAAAATGCTGGTGAAATACAAATAGAGTCTCTTGCTTGGTAGAATGAGAGCAATCCTAAATTTTTAGATTTGACAAACGTGCTATGATTATTTGGTGCAACAAGGTGCAATGAGATGTACAAATTATTATGTCAAAAAATGAACTTTACAACTTTAAAGGGGGGAATGGGGTGGGGGAGATGGGAAGGGATGGGAAGGGGAAACAAAGGAGGAGGCAACAATGCTTGATAAGAAATGAACTCATTATCTTGCCCATGTAATTGTAACTCCTCTGTAGGTATTTTCACAATAAAAAAGATGCTGAAGGGTGAAAGATGGATGGACACCATTATCTCTCTTCCTAACATTTTAAGAATTTAAAATTATTTTAGAAAGATTTTATTTAAAACTCTTATGCTTTTAAGAATAATCGATCACCTGGAATCCTAGCTACTTGAGAGTTGGGTACTGGGGGACTGGTACTGGAGAATCCAGGCATAAAAATCTGTGAGATTCTTACCCATCCAATGACTAGACATGGTGGCAAGCAGCTGACATCCCAACTATAGAAGATACACAATGGCTACATGCAGTGGCCTGTGTTTGGCACCCACAGAGACATGGTGAAGTGCACGTGTGAAGATCCCAGCCCTGACTGATCAGACAAAATGTGAGACTCTATCTTGAAAATAAACGTGACAAAAAGGAGCTCGATTCATGACCCAAGTGGTGAGATGCTTGCCTTCCAGCTGTGAGTCCTTGAGTTCAATCTTCTCCAACAAAGAATAAATAACTAAATGCAAAATTTACTCTTTGATAGCAAAACGTTCATATATAAAAAGTGCTTGTCTGAAATCAGGTTGAATCTATCTAGATCTATATATCTACATCTTTATCTGTCTATCCAAAAAAGTTTCATTATCTTGCTAAAACTCTGTTCCTATTTCTCTGAGATACTCAGAGAACATTTTTCACTAAATCTGTACAACGACATATTTTAAGTATTATCTGCCTAGTATACATGTGTGTATATATATACATATATATGCAGTCAGTTATTAAATTGTTACCATAGAATTAGAACTTTCTGCTGATGTTTGAACTTTAGTATTGTTGCAATTTCTTTCCTTACTTAATAACGTTCAAAATGAACATTATATTAAGGTAATAAAACAGACATCATATCTTTCAATAGGTAAGATACTAAAAGTAAGTTTAATGGCTTTCAAAAAGCTCATAAATTCTGTTGCAGGAATTTAGTGCAGTCTATCTTTGTTGGATTAATATTGATTTTGTGTTGCTGTTTCCCTGGGGTTATTTATGTAAGCAATAAAGCCTTCAGAAGAATGAGCTATTACTCACCTAGGAGCTTCTTTACCCCTTGTCGCTTCTGGATATTGCTGAGTTCTGTCTGGCAAGGTGGGTCTAAAATGACATGAAAAATGTTACCTCCAGGATTATAGTTAAATTTTGTCATCTCTCCATTATCCAACTTCAAATAGCTTTTGTGTATCATTAGAAGACACCTTTTAAATATTAATTGACATTCTGATATGGAACTATTCATATAGATATGGGAATAGAAAGAAGAGGAGGGGATAATGGAAGAGGAGGAAGAAGAACTAGAGAGAGAGAGAGAGAAAGAGAGAGTGAGACAGACAGACCAGATAGAGAGACACATAGAGAGAGACAGAGAACAAGAGAGTAAGAGAGAGAGACTGGTTTTCTAATCATTACTAATATTAGATCATCTGTCTTTAGAATGATAGAATTGACTAGAAAATAACATAAATATTTATATGATATGAAATGCTCAATAACATTTATAAGGTCAACAAAATCAATTATTTAAATCTATGGATTATTGCCCAAACAAGTAGCTTATTTCCCTTTAATTGAAAATATTTTTAAAGATACAAAGAAATCATTTTCATTATGAAAGATAGATTTTATTAGAAGTTATGTCACAAATGCAGACTTTAATGTTATATACTATTAAAGAGCTATATGTTCTTTCTGGACTTACCAGATGCTTAAATTTTATATGAAATTTAAACACATGGCAATATATCCAATTATTTCTGATAAATCATTATATAATTTTTTTTGGTTGGTCGTTAGACCTGAACTCTGGGCCTGGGCGCTGTCCATCAGCTCTTTAGCTCAAGGCTAGCGCTCAACCACTTGAGCTGCAGCACCACTTCCGGCTTTTTCTGCTTGTGTGGTGCTGAGGAATTGACCCAGGGCCTCATGCATGCAAGGCAAGCACTCTACCACTGAGCCACCTTCCCAGCCTCCCATTATATAAAATTTATTGGAATCTTTTGAACCATTTTTAAAATAAATACTTGTGTAGTTTTCAAACTCAGTCACTTTAAAGAGAAAATAGGTATTGCAGTGTAAAATTTTAAATGGTCACAATATAGTTGCCCTTTTATTATTACATAGCTACTATATATAGCCCTATGTATTGTTATATAAAGACAGTTTAATACTTTATATTCATCCATGATATGGTGTCACATACATAATCAAAAACCACTGAAATAGCAAAATGGCCAATTAGTTCCTATAACCACTCATTAAGGTAAGATACAATTAATTCAAATAATTTTGAAATCAGTTTAATATACCAAGTTCAAAATATTCAATTATAAAATGACATGTAAATAATAAAGTAGAATGAAAGGGCTTAAATAAGTTTTATTTTATTATGTCAGTTCAGAGTTGTTCTATCTTGTAAAATAGAAAAAGTGAAGCAAATAATTGATCCAATTGTCCTCTTTGATTGTTTTTGTTCTAATATTCTCATAAATCTCTTGAACAAAGTAGTCCAAGACTATGAAGATGCACTGCATGGACATGAAAGAGCTGGAGTTTCAATATTCTCTTGTTAGCAACATTCTTTTGGATATGAGCTAGTTAATGTAAAGTAGAATTGATAATCCTTATGTACACATGCCTGAACATCCAGGTTCTTTTGTAATTTCTGATTTTCTATATCTTCTCATAAGCCTGACTACCTTATAGGAACCAGAACTTACAAGAGTCTGCAAGTTCTATATAATGGTACATTTTAAGATTTTAGAAATAATCGTGACTAATTAAGCAGTTCAGTAACAAGTAGAATTTATTTTTAACCATATTCTTCTTATTATTAATAATCGAGCTTTGAAATTTCAAGGCCCTTCCTTTGTAATTTGGTTATTAAGAATTTCAATATAGGCTCAATAAAACAAATATGCATATATTAGTATATGCATATATAATATGCTAAATATATAATTGGGTATATATAGGGTATAATTTGATGCGTTGTCCTATGTATACACTGTAGAACAAGCCAATAAAACAAATAGATGCATCACCTCATCAATACATTTCTTTATATGATGCAAGAATTAAAAAGAAAAATTATAACAAATATGTTTCTATGTTTCTGTGGCTGTTTTTCATCCCTCTCTCTTGATCTTCTGCTCTCCCAGACAGTTTTTGAACCATTTTAATCTCAGTTCCTGGAAAATCAATATTGTAGCTTCCTCAAAAATGTTCTTATGCATGTATTTTGAATGATCAACTTTTAAACATGAAAGGATACAATATTCTGGCACTTAAAAATTTAAAAAAATGTCATAAAAACTGCATGTCTTAAGCCAGTCTCTGGTGGCTCGCACATGTAATCCTAGCTACTCAGGAGTCTGAGAACTTATGATCATGGTTCAAAGCCAGCCCAGACAGGAAAGTCCATGAGACTCTTGTCTCCATAAATCACTCAGAAAATTGGAAGTGTAGCTGTGGCTCAAGTGGTAGAGCGCTAGCCTTGAGCTGAGGAGCTGAGGGACAGCATTCAGGTTGAGTTCAAGCCCCATGATGAAAAAAAAAACCCAAAACAACAACAATAACAAAACCACTGCATGACTTTTAAGACCATTTATCTGGATTTATTTCATATATATATATATATGGATTCACTCATAGTAAGAAGGATGCCTTTTTTTTAAAGAAGTTTGGTCCTATTGAGAGCACATATATAATAAAGTTAACAATGGGTGTGTAGTTTTTTGGCTATATTTTGTACCTGTACCTGATATTGAAATTAGTGCCTTGTGCTCTTCCTTGGCTTTCTTGTTCACAATTAGTGTTTTGACACTTGAGTCATTGTTCTAATTAAATCTGGAATCTCACTAACTTTTCTGCTCAGGTTGGTTTTGAACTTGATCCTCTAGGTTCCAGTCTCCTGAATCACACATGTGAGCCAATGGAACCAAGGAATAATGTGAGCTCATTCATGTGTGCCATTTAGAATATATAATATAGCATATTCATTTTTGAATTTAGGGTGCTATAAAGAATCAATCTTCTCTACTCAGTCACATTTTCTGACTTACCACATCTATTCATTAATCATTGCCTCACAATTACTTAATTTTTACTAAATATGCAAAAGAAGCCAAGATGGTAAAACATCAGCTATACTCATAATTATCTATTCAAAATATGATCATTGACATAGTTCATTCTCTGAACTCTTAAATATTTTGAAAACATTGTTTCCATAGTTTAATAGAACAATTATAATGAATTTTCTTAGATGTTTCTTTATATGTACTTAATAAAAATAAAAATTCAATATATTCTATTAAGCATGATTCCTATTTTAAATTATATTTATATTTCCTCAAAAAAGAGATATGTGTAGAAAGAACAAGAGACATTCTAAGATATCCTCTGGCCTCTCTTTCTCCAGGATATTAAAAGACTTTCTTTGCTAGTGAATTTTTAGAAAGCTAAACTATTTTGAAAAGCTTGAAAGGCATCATTTTTATGATAAAAAGTATAAAAATAACTTGGTGGTGAATGCTCTGGTTCATTCAGCTCATTTAATAAGATCACAAAATGGAACATTAAAACTCTTCAGTATAGTGATAAAAAAATCCCAATTATTTTTCACCATGGGCAAAGCAGATAGCAAATTAATTTTAATGATTACTTTTAATATCTATGTTCTCATATCTCAGTGTGCTCCTTGCTGGCTCATAATGGAAACTGTAATGAAGTACATTAATATAAAATATTAATTACTTACTTTCCTCTTATTTAGCATGTTTGTTTACAACATTTGCAAAACTATTTTGTTCAACTTGCTTATTTTCCTGTTTTATCCAATATTCATGAACTACCAAAATGAAGGACACGATGTGTCCTGTAAATCATTTTTCCAGAGAAGCATAGATCATACTTGAAAGGCAGACCTGCAATTGTGTGTGCATGGGTCCCATTTTTTACCTTGCTGTCTTTGGAAGCAATAGCACCACTCATTGTTGGATATCAAACTGTCCTTGTAGGTGTCACAAGAATTGAAGAATGCCTTGACACAGTGCTCATTCTTATCAAGGTAGATACTCCCAAGCTCTGACTGGTCTAACAGCAGGTCATAGTTTGTATCCAGTCTGTTAAACATCCAGCCAAGGGAATCCTTGCAAATTGGCAAAATACTTGTATCAAATCCTACAAACAAAAAGAGAAAAATAGGCAAGCAAAATAGGCAAGCTGTCATCAAAAAGCAAAGTAAAGCACTAAAATAGGCAACGTAGGCAAGACAACTATTATGTATTTATAAAAGGCAGGGCAAGAAAATGGATAGAATTTGGAGATTGACCTGTTAAGCTCAGAAAGACAAATGTTACAAGCTTTCCCTCAGAGGAAGAAATGTGACTCTCCAAAAATATAATGTTTATAAAAGAGGGACAGTTGGAAGGTGGGCAACAGTAGGTAGAGGTAGCAGGAAATAAATGTAATGAGCCCACCAAACACTGGCAAAAGGAGCCGAGGAGGAGTAAGTCTAAGAAAGAATAATGTAAAAGAGGTAAATTTTATCAAAATACATTATGATCATTTTGTAAATGTCACGAGGAAGCTCTTTGTACAATTAATTTATGCTAATCATTAAAACTGGAAACATAGGTAGGTCCAGGTAATCTGATGAGAAGTTCTCTCAAAGTACAGAGAACAAAGAAATTCTGTACTGTTTAACCTGCTTTAGAAAAAAAATTAAGTAAGGCCCTAAATTGTGTGATTTGTTTCAAAGTAAAGTCAATGTGTGAATATATGCCATTCAGGAGATTTGTGGTGATTACGTTACCAGAAAGTATTTGGTAATAATTTGGTGTTTATTCAATGGTAATTCATATTATAATGTTATTTATATTTTGGGTTCAATTTTCTTTCATACACCATATATAATAACAAGTTTTTTGTTGGATATGTATACGTGTAAATATTACTGAATAATAAAATCTAGCAATAAACACTAAAATTCATTTTGTCCAAAGGAAATGAAGATACTATTTTCACTGAAAACTAATTAACACATGATAAAAATCAACTTTAGCATTGCTTTGTATCATGATAGAATAATGGTGATTGTAGTTTTCATGTAAATCTGTTTGTCAGAGCACTGACCACTAAGAGACTTCTGTCACATCAAAGGTCCTACCTTTGAGAAAAGAGGGGAAGGAAGGAAGGGTAAAGAAGAGAAATACAAAAGAATATGTAAGAGCAATGAATCATCATTCTAACAGAGAAGTAACTAAAATGGCACAGAAGAAGACTGAGAAGGGCTGGAAGAAGAGGAAGTATTTCAAAGATTAATGGTACAATTCTCATTATTAATGAAATGAATCAAACTACAGAGATAAGATCTTAGAAACACTGAAAAGGAAAAATACCTACCACGCAAAGAAAGAAACAACAAAACTTGGACACATTATAGTCAAATTACTCAAAACCAATGATAAGAAACACGATTCAAAACAGCCAGGAGCAAAATACATGTTCTTAAGAAGAAAGAAAATTGCACACTGTTCAGATAAAACCCAAGTCAGCCAAAATATAATGGAAGATCTTAGAATAGCAAACTGAAAAAATATTAATCTCTCAACACAGAGTTCTTTGCCTACTGAGAATATCTTTTAAGAAGGAAGCAGCGATACTTTTTAAGAAAACAAGAATGGGAGATTATTTATTTAAGCCGATGTGAGCCACAAAAAAACATACTCAAAAATGAGCTTTTGGCCTAGAATACATTATAATGCAGGTTAAAATTTACATCTCAAAAAAAACTAAAGAATTCTGGAAAAAATTCTTTTTTTCCTTGCAAATGGTTCAAAAATATTGAAAAACAAACTGAAAATTAGCAATATATTCTTTGCTTAAAGCATGTATACAAGAAAAATGCATTACATAGGGAGATTTCTACACTCTGACAGTAATCAATGTGACGTGTAGATAGAAGACTAGTAAGGAAATCGAAAATCTAAACAAAACTATCAATGATTAACAGGTTTGAAATAATTTATGCTGACAGGCAAGTCCAACAAATAATAAAAGAAATTACAAGTTTCTTTCAGATGAACATGAAACATAATTCTCTATCATAAAATAGTTCTTAATAGATTTAAGAGAACTAAAGTCATGCAAGATTTTATCCCAGTACATAAAAATATTATTACAGTAATTATCAATAATAGAAAATACATGAGGAAAATATGACTTAGAAAATTTGGCTCCATAATAAATAATTGAAAAGAATACTAGTTTATTCACTAGCAGAATGTTTCCAGAATCCTACCCTATCTTGGTAAATTATGGACAGGCTTAAATTTTAAATATAAGACCAAATGCAACAGAGGTATTTATTTTTGTGAGAAAAAAGTTTATTACAGAATATAAAGGGTGATAAACTAAAGTCAATTTAGAAACAAGGGGGAAGAAAGATACAAAGCCAGATGCTGTTGGCTCATGCCTGTAATCCTAGCTGTTCAGGTGGCTGAGATCTAAGGACTGTGGTTCAAGGCCAGGCCAAATAAGAAAGTCCACCAGAAGTGGAGCTGTAGCCTGAAGTGGTAGAGCAGTAGCCTTGAGCATAAAAACTCAGGGACAGTGCCCAGGTTAGGCCTTGAGTTCAAGACCACCACCACCAATTACAACAACAAAATCTGAGTAATGACAAGAGGCTCAAGTTTTCTCTAAGATGTGTAAGTTAGACCTAAAATATAAACATATTGAAATCACATACAAGGCTCTGGTTTATATGCAGGAGTATGAGTCTATGATGTAACCCCGCTAGCCAATACACAGTTTAACAAAATGAGTTAAGAGGAAGCTGAAATATGTCTTGTCTGTAGGTGAGGAGGGGCAGGAGAGAGGGGACAGGCAATGGAGATGGGAATGAATACAGTCATAATACTCAAAATACACACTTGAAAATGGAACCGAAAAATGTGGATGGAGGAATGATGAAATGGGTGATGCTGAGCAAGACGCATTGTACATGCAAGTGAACATGTTAAGCGGAAATTCCTGTGTACAACTATTTGAAGACACTAAAAAAATGAAGGAAAAGAACCCACAAAGCAAAGAGATTTTATAAGGTTAAAATAAGTAGATAGTAATAATAAAAAAGTTGTCACTTTCTATATGTAGTGTGATTTTTAAAAAATATTAACCATAAGTCTATATGCTCATCTATTAACAATAAGTATATTAACAATGTCTATTAACAATAAATATGTTAACTATATATCTATTAACAATAAGTATGTCAACTATATGTCTATTAACAATAAGTATGTTAACTGTATGTCTATTAACAATAAGTATGTTAACTATATGTCTTTAACAATGTGTATGTGTGCTCATAGGAAATTGAAGCAAGACAGAAGAACTAAACTTGCTTGGTTGCCAGTTTTGTTTCTAACCTCATGATGGAGAAAAGGGATGGGGTTGGAAAGAGAATACTAACTTCCTCTAATATTTGTCAAATAATTTAGTCTCAAAGGGATCATTCTAAAATTGCTTGTTTTTGGTTAACAAGGATACTTGGATGCATAGACTCATTTGTCTTCGAATTGAACAATATCTAATAGTTATACTTCTAAGTTATTTTGTTCCCTTTTGATTTATATTTTTCCCTTTGATTTTTAGCTATCACCTCTTGGTGTTTTTAAGATGTCATTATGCAAACATTCAAGGATTTTACAAAAAAAATTTAAGTAGCACTGCAGAAATAGTCTACAAGAATACTTGTAACTTTATATATAACACCTATTACTTTGTGAAGTATATATAAATGTACACATATAAATTTTATTTAAAATTTTCTTTTTCCTTTTTTCTTCGTCCTATGGCTTGAACTCAAGGCTTGGGTGCTGTCTCTGAATATCCTCATGCTCAAGACTAGCACTTGAGCCACAGTGCCACTTCTGGCTTTTTCTGAGTGGTTTATTGGAGATAAGAGTATCGTGGACTTTTCTGCATGGACTGCCTTTGAACCGCGATTCTCAGATCTCAACCTCCTGAGTAGTTAGGATTACAGGCATGAGCCACTGGCGCCAAGCCTCATCTTGCTTTTAATTCTGCCAAAATGTCTTTCTTTAAGTAGAGTAAGTTCTCTTTTTTTAAGTAGGTTACTTTTTAAAAGTGGTCTGGGATATATTTTGAAAGTAACGTACTGAATTCACACACACACAAAAATAAAATTCACAGTATTTCATCTGGTGAGAAGCAGTTGACGTAAAGACTGCACATTCTCCAATGTTAATAGCTAGTTTTTACTATTTGGAATATTATAGAATTGTGAGTGGATATTGTTATTACACTCAATGTACTTATGTGAAAATGGAACCAGGTAACTTGAAGGGATGGGTGGGCTTGAAATAGCTGAGTCAGCAATCATCACCTTTGGTGACACTGTTCAAGATGCATTTTACTCATACATTGATTATGCTGACTTGAGCCTTCTTTGTATAGTACTCAAAAATATTAAAAATTATGAAAATAAATAAGAATAAAATCAATTAATGTCTTCTAAGGAAAAAAATAAAGGCTAATGAAATTTTCATTTCTGGCATCTAGTAAGAAAGTTTCCAAGAAGAAAAGACATGACAAATTTATTGCAATACGCTGTTCATTTAATACATTTTTTACAAATTTACTTTACAGAGCATTAACATAATTCAGCCAAATACAGAATAAATTACTTGTATGTAATTTAAATGTCTATATATTAAGATAATATGTTAGTCATTCTAAGGTGTATAGTTAAATTTAATTATAGAGAAAGTTATAATGTATACTAAATAAAAAAAGAGAACCCCAGATGTCTTAATTAGAAATACCAAAACAAGCAATAATCTGGATCTTTCTTTTTATTACTTGAAATAAAAAAAGAGAATTGATGAACTAACTTTAGAAATCTTTGTTTTAAACAGATGGAATATCCTGCTATATCTAGGAAGATCCTCATTACATTGAGACAAGGCATTTTATATTTAAAGCCATTTGATTCCCAAGTCAATCTTCCTCTCAATGTGAAGACAGCATGACATAAGTGTGCAGTATGTGGGTAAGAAATTAGGATGTATTCATTTGCCCTGGGGGTTTAAGTGATTCCTTCATTTTTCTCTGGCTGTGAAGAACATGAGATGAGCAGAAAAGCAAAAACAGACATTATCTTAATCTAAGTCAGACTGCTAATCTGGGAGTTTTGCATAAGTGTTAGCATCCTGAAGTTTACCAAATTGATATCACCCCCAAATAGTCTTCTCAATTGGAGCTCTATTTTTAAAAACTAGATGTCACATTTATCCTGTTTAATTTTCAATGACTTATGAAAGCATACTGAGGAATATAAACCATATTAGAAAAAGATAACTTTATGAAAAATGCACTAAAATCTGTAATCACTGGCATCTATAATAGTTATTGACATCTGTAAACTAATGATATACATTGATTTAGAGCTTTTCCTCCCCAAAGGAAGGACTACACCCATGCATTTACTATGTTCACACCTCCAGACAATATTATCTAATTTGATTTTCAACTTTTATAAGGAAAGCTATATTCTGATTGGCTCAGTGATAAATGTTTATGTCATATTTATCAAAGTTTTATAAATTCAAAAACTTTCAAAAGTCTTTTAATTGAGAATAGCCTAAATGTTTTATAAACTTATGGTTTTGTATTTGAATAATTTAAATACACTGTAATAAGAGTAGTTTAATATTAAAGAAAACAGCTATGAAGGTTTGATAGCATTTTGTATATTGCTATCAGTTTTTCTATTTAGACACATTTTTGTTGGTTTTATGAGCATTGATCAAATTAATTAACACTTCATCTTTTCCATATTTAAAATTAGAAGAAATATTTATTTTTAATCAAATCATTCAGATGATACAATTTCTGAAGTAATTATGTTTTTAGTAAACCAACTTAAAAATGATTTCTATCATCTTCCATAACTTAAAATCACATAGTTATGCTAGATTAAGTCAATTAGTAGACATTTCTTATTTATCATCTAATTTAACATTTAATATTAATATTAATTTAATGTGCTACTTAATATTAATATTTTAATATTTAAATCTAAAAAAGATAAAATATTAAGGCATGCTTTTGAATTTGTATATTTGGTCTCTAATTTTTATGGCTTAGCAACTTTTATATACTGCAATCTCTTAATAACAGTTTAGTTTTCCACATTAAAAAGATATACTATGAAGCAGCATATGGCTATAAAAACTATAAATTTATATTCATAAACCTTGCAAATATGAAAAATGCTGAGCCCTAACACTTTATAATTACTTACCTCAGAGTTTTCTCTACAAAATGAAAATTACTCTAATTTGAAATTATATGCATGCATATGAATATTCAAAGAAAAACAACTTTGTTTCAAGATATGCACGATACTATTTTGTTAGAAATATAATTTTATGTCAATATGTAATGACAAATTTGCCCCAAATATATGAAGAAAACCTAAACAAATACGCTGCAGAAGAGTCAATTATCCAGTTAAAAATGTGAGACCCTATCAGAAAAAACAAAAACAACAACAAAAAACTGAAGTTTATAAAGGGTGGCAGAATGTCTGCCTAAAAAATATGAGGTCCTGAATTCAAACCTTAAGAAGTGTCCCCCACAAAAAATAGGTATAAGATACAAACTGACTGTTATTCTACTTCCTATGTCTTCGATAAATTGCTGACAAAATTCCTATTGTTAAATTTTAACTGAGCTTAACTGTTACCCAGGCAGACAATATTTTCCCTCTAATCAGAGTTGTTCCAAGGGTATATTTCTCTACAAAATATTACAGATGTTATTGGAAGTAACATCTGCGTACAAATAGTAAATCTGATAAGTAGTAAAATATTTGTTTGCTTTCCTAATTGAGCCAATAGATAGAACTGCAATCTCAAAGACAATCAAGCTTATCTCATGCAGAAATCTTACTGCTCCTTTCTGGCCTCAGTAATGCTTTGGCCTTCTTGTTCTGGCTTCCACTTTCATGAAGGGCCTTGAACCAGTCCCGTAACCTATTGGCCACTTCTCTGAACTCCAGGTCACTGCACACTAAAAACAGAGAGAAGAAACAGAGCAGATCAGTGGGAAAATCAACGCTTTCCTCCAAAGTATGCTGATACCCTGAAAGGTAACAATGGCTACAGGAAAAAAGCAAACGTAAAACAAGGACTAACTGTGATTCACTCATTTCAAAGCTAAGAGTTATTAGACTTCAAACATCATGTGATGTAGCAGAATAGAAATATTTATTTAACAAGATTTCTTTTTTCTTCTCTATAGGATTTGATTTCTACTTCATTTGGTTGAGGACTCTCAACCAATGTGTGCATAGGAATGAATAATACACATGCTCTTTCAATTTATTTTAATACCATATGCTTACTGGAGCACAGAAAAGGAAGGGGCATATTATCTGACATTAGGATAGACTGCAAAGTATTTTTAAAAGTGGTGCCATGTCTTCTTGTAGAAAGCTCAATATTAAAGGTCCTATGGATGCAGCTCAGGACTTTTGCCCAGACTTCATGAGGCCCAGTATTGACACACAAGTTAGCATTTGGAACGAAATTAACTTCCCCTCTGATTTCCAGTGTTAGTTGTCAAAGGTTGTTTAAAATAGCCCACACAATAAGCAATACCAGAATATGCCCAATGCTAAAGCATGGCATCTAAATTCAGTGATCTGCTGCCAAAGCAAGTGGGTATACACAAACAGAAATATTTTACCTTGCTGAGAGACTATTGTTCCTACAAATATCTTGTGTATGTTGTAATTTCCTCACTTGACACTTTGTTCTAGTAATATTTTCCTTACTCATTTTGGAAAGTCATTATTCAGTGATGATAGAGTATATTACATGTTATTTAAGTAACACCATATACGCTGTAACATAATATACATTATATAGATCAACAAAATGTAGTGTAAGTAGCATAACGGAATTAGGATCATCTCCTTTCCCCTAAAACCTTATGCGAATGATATCCTAATGGTACCCAGTAGAGTGGATGGCACTGACAAGTCATTGTAGACTTTCAAAACACCAGAGTCAAAACTGATTCTACTCTCCATTCCATGGGGAATAGTAAAAAATTAACATATCAAATGCAAGGGACAAAAATGCCTTCACACTTTTACTAACAGGATCAGGAGGCAGTGATAAACACAGAAGAAACGAATTCACCATTCTGGAAGACTTTTTCAAGAAAATCTACTAGTTATTTTTTAACACATGGACAAGTCTTACAAACTCCATAATCTTTTCCTAGGAAGTTACTGAAAATGTATGATATACCACAGAGAATACGTAAGAGAGAATTCAGCTAAGAAACAAGAACAAAAGACTAAGAGATGAGGGCATTCCTATAGTAAAGACATTTCCAGAAGATATTTTGCTTGAAAAGTTTAGAGACCAATGGTGGTTGTTAGAAAACTCTTGGCCAAAAGAAACAGGTCCCATGGTTTCCCTTATTTACAATAACTAGTATATGTCTGAGACAAGCGGTAAAGGTCAGATAAGTTGATGTTAGGTGAAATGCACCCGAAGATAAGGACACAAGTGGTTTTTTCTTTCTTGCTATTGTTTCTAGTGTATTTATAAGGTACCATGTGATTTTTTTGTTGCTTTGTATGTCCCTACCCCATGATATAACCCCTGTTTTCACTGTATTTGATGTTGGTATAATTTGGGGAGGGGAAGGGAAAAAACAAATTGTTTAAACAGGGGGACAGGTGGACCCATTGCAACAATGAGATGTACAAGACGTTACGTCGAAAAACGAACTTTACAATTTAGGCTGGGGTGGGGGAGTGTCATTGCGGAGGTGGGAGGGAAGGGATGGTAAGAGTAAAACAAAGGAGGAGGCAACAATGCTTGATAAGAAATGTACTCATGACCTCGCTCATGTTACTGTAACCCCTCCTCTGTACAGTGTTCTCACAATAAAAAAACTTATTTAAAAAATAAATAAATACAAAGAAAACTCTTGGCCAGGGAATAGCAATACATAGAATGCATAGTATACTTTCATCCGGAGTAATAATAAGATGTTTTGAAAACCAGAGAAAATACCAAATCTATTGAAGACTGGTACTTGCTGAGACTGACTATAAGAACAATAAATAATATGAATATCTACACGGCAGCCTGTTGTCTCTGTTCAAGACAATATATTTCAAAGGTCTGCTCCCCTTACTCAAGATTGGAGAAGAAACACATAAAGTGCAAAAAACTATGCAGGTATGCAAATGCATAATATGTCTATATGTAAAAAATACATATATAGATTTATGATATATGTAGATATAGACATATGCATCATGTCTATATATGTCTCTAAATGGACATACATGTATAAATCATCTGTCTATAGAACATCTATCATCTATCTATTGCAATGGTCTATCTCTCATCTATCTATACATCTATTTGTCTGTCTGTCTATCTGTCTGTCTGTCTGTCTGTCTGTTTCTCTATCTATCTGATAGAACTAATTCCAATTAGTTGCATTTGGGAAAACTGATAGAATAGAGTGCACAATGCATGAGAGAGTTTTTGATATGTTTACATGCATACCTTAAAATATTAAAAATTTCTGTGTATTACTTAGTGTAAATATTCAAAATTATTTTTGGCATGAACTTGGTTCCATGTTACTTTTCCACAAACCCATTTCATCAGGATGATAAAATGTTCTTTTTTTTTTTTTTGTCGGTCGTGGGGCTTGAACTCTGGGCCTGGGTGCTGTCCCTCAGCTCTTCAGCTCAAGGCA